ATATGGGGGAAGATTTAGAGTGTGTGCTCAGACTGGCCCACAGATATCTACAGTACTATTTTCACCTACTAGCAACAGTAAAGTAGGCAATTGTGGACAAAACCTGATTGGACCAACTTGAAAGAATAGTGAAATGAATGGTGCTGTCCTTAAGGCAAAAAAGATGAGTGAATACACCTGGGTGTGTTCTAATAGAAAATATGGGCATAAGCTAAGAGTTTATCAATTTTCACGACCTCCTTCTTATAATTGCTTTAAAAGAAAGTTCTTTGGGGTCCCAACTGAGTCAGCTATAATTGCGTCATATGCAGTATATGTAATAACAATAAGTTCAGTGGCTGCCATCCATAAAACTCCATTAGGTAGCAGACACAAGTTATAATTAGACTGTAATATTAATTTACCATTAATATGCCATTACAGGCTATTTTCATTCTCTATATGCCTTTTTTCGCCTGCTCTTCTCTTGGGAAGTTTAGTACAAGATCCACTATCAGGGCCAGGGAGTTTCTACTGTAGTATCGTTTCTGGGGTGCTCTCAGATGCCTCTCTGTCATCAGAAGGTTAGCTTCTTTCCCTTAACTCTTGTTCAATATGTGGGGACTGTGAGTTTTGTTGCATATTTTGAGGTGCTGTCCAGAATGGAAGGAGAGCAGGATCAGAGGCATCTTGCTTAAATACTCCCAGTGGAGTGTGTGTATGTGTGTGTGGGTGGCTTGAGTAAACACTACCTGTATCAAGGCTTCCTCAGTGGCCAACCAGTTCATGTCTTTGTCGTTGTCATACCGAACCCACCACTTTGGAAGTATTGGAGCTCTTCTAGGTGACAGTTTCTGCTGACCCTGCCCTCCTTCCTGTGAGTCTTCCTGCAGTTTTCCTTCTGTTCCACATCTTCCCTGGGAGGTTCCAGGGTCTACTGGGAAAGAGGGCTAATCATTAATAACTAATTGATTAATTAATTAATTGAGCTAATCATGTCCATGATTTTCAGGTTTTCAGTTCCCATGAAGCTCTGCCTCCTAAGAGGTTAAAGTTCAAACAGCTACTTAAGACATGACCTTATAAGGTGCAATTCAGGGGGAGGAGCTCCAGTTCAGGCACAAACCATATGGAAATAATAATAAAGTTGTAATTTCAGGGACGGGGAAGAGGCAAGAGAAAATAAAAATCATTCTTTAACAGTTTGTCATATTAAACTTAAGATATATCTATTTAAAAAATATCCAGGAATCCATACAAAGATTCAAATGTAAATAAGGGACTTGATGGGAACATTAGAAAAGACATTTATTAATTTTGAAGCTCAGTGCTCATTAATAATAGGAAACATTAAAAATAACATAGATTGGGATAGTTTTTAAAATGAGATATTGGTATTTATTACTATTCACAATTACAAGAAATGGATGATAATATTTTAAATGCATTAAATTTGGTCCATCACGCTCACTTCATGGTGTGAAGAAAAACAGCACTTGAATGATTTTTCCCTTAATTTGTTCTAAATTACAGCAAAGTGCTCTGCAAGAAGCAAGTGCTTGTGTTAATTAACTCTGAGTAGAGAAGGTCACTGGCATACATGGGGCTCAATTTGTGGCTTTAGTGAGATATTCTCTTCTGCAATTAAAATTCATCATCAGGAATTGGAGGCATGTGTAGATTTTCATTTCTTTATCTAGCACTTCATGTTTGGGCATTTTTGTTGGGTCTTCTTTAAAGACATTGAAAATGCAATAACAATAATGAGATGGACTTATGAGATGAAACACATATTCTACATATTTATTTACAAGTACGAATACAACATTGGCTTTCTCTCTGAGCCGGAACTTTTGCGCTGAATCTGTAAAACCACATTCAAATGGCTTAACAGTGCTTCACAACATAAGGAATTAATAAGACTGAATTTTAGTTATGTTGAATTGTAAGACCATACACACAATTATAAATGCCATACAGTCTCAGAAACCATTCTCCAAGATCCTCAGAATTCCACTGGAGTTAGAGAGCCATCAGCAGCTAAGTCCATAGTTCTAAAGTACAAAGAACTTTTAAATGTTCTTTCTAATTTTCACTTACCTTTAGTTTCTTAGGATGTGTGCTGTTATTTGTATGCCTATAAAATTATGAATGCTGTGGTACATGTTATGTTGGTCATAAGACACATGATATGATACAGGTGTTAAACTTAAATTATTCGTGTGAGTTAATATTTGAATGGTAGGCCCTTGCCTCTTCCAATACACTCCAGTATCAAATGTGAATCACAATTTTAAAAAGTGACTTTAAATGGTTTTAACCACAATGTCATTCCTGTGATTGCTATTTGTCCTGGATAGTGTTTTTGGCCACTTCAAAGAGGTAAAGAGACTTCAAGACTAAACATTCATCTAAAGAGATCATTTAAGTGTGGAGCTTCAGTGAGAAGAGCCATAAATTTAGAATGGGAAGATAATTATTAATATTATTATTATTATTAGTTTTGGTCTGAATTTTTGAGACAGGGCTTCTCTGTGTAGCCCTGGCTGTTCTGGAACTCACTCTGTAGACCAGGATGGCCTTGAACTCACAGAGATCCTCCTACTTCTGCCTCCCGAATGCTGGGATTAAAGGCATATGCCACCACTGCCAGGCTTTGGAAGATATTATTAATTGAAACAAATCCTAATGGTCCCAGTGTCCACTAAATTTTAGAGCAACACAGGATCAAGGGCTCTTCAGCAAAATAATATATTTTTAAGATGTGCATATTAATTATGAGTAAGTTTGTAGTCCTACTACCTTTATTTTTTTATGCTGTAGCTATGAAATTAAGTTCTGGGAGCTGGAGAGATGGCTTAGCAAGTAAGAGCACTGGCTGCTCTTCCAGAGGACCTGGGGTCAAGTCCCAGCATCCACACAGCAGCTCACAACTGTCTCTTACTCCAGTTCCAGGGGATCTGACACCCTCACACAGACATACACACAGGAAAAACACAAATACATGTAAAATAAATAACTTTAAAAAAGAAATTAAGTTCTGATTAAAAATAGATGTATATTCCACTCCTGACCAAGATGATATTTGCAATTGATACCTCCTGAGAGAAGAGAAATCAGTTTTTTCCAATGAAGTAATTCTGGTTATAACAACCAGTTGGCCAACACAAAATGGATGGCATGGGTTTTGTGTGTGTGTGTGTGTGTGTGCTTTTTGTTTTGTTTTGTTTCCTCTTTCTTTTTTGGGGGGAGGGGGTTCTTACTGGGGTTTTTGTTTGTTTTGGAATTTTTCATTTTATTGTTGTTGAGAGAGAGCATGATGTTGGGTGGGGAAGAAGGTGGGGAAGATCTGGAAAGAGTTGGGGAGGAGAAAGAATATGGTGAAAATATACTGTATGAAAATATTTTTAAGTTAATGAAAGAAGAAAATTAGTTTGCAAAAAAGACTTGAAAGGGTTCATGTGTCGAAAAAGCATGTACCATAGTACTTTTTGTTTCTGCAGTTTCATCAATGGAAATCAATGCATGATCTGTGTATGGGGACAGACTCTGGAGGTAAGGTTCAAGAACCAGAGCATTGACAAATAATTTCATCTTTTTCAGCAAAACTGCTTTTGCAATGACTATCAAATTGCTATGGGTGACTATATATGAGAAAAGCCATAAATTAGAATGGGAAGATATGATTTATTATTATTATTATTATTATTATTATTATTATTAAAAACGTGGAGGTTAATTGATTACAGCTTCATCAAATCTACTGAAATGAAAGGAATTTTAATTTTACTTGGTAGATTTTAAAATTGAGTTTTTATATCATATGGTTAGTTAAGCCAATTATTTGTTTGAGTCAGAAACACACAACTGCCACATAACTGTAATGTTTTTTTCAAAAGTGAAGTCCTAAGACGTAGGAAAAAATGAAAGTAGATTGTCGCAGTGTGCCAGCTCCACAACAGTAGCTGCAAAGGGCTGCGAGGGGGAGTCGTGTTCACTGTAATAGTCCACGAGGACTCTAGTCTTCACGCTGCATTACTAATGATCCCAGCGTGCTGTGCAGAAGCACACTCATACTTTTTCTCAGAGCGCCCCCTTGTGACGAATGGCCACTAGCACCAAGGCAGTTGATTGTACTGGTTGAAATGCACACTGTGGCAAGCCTGGAGAATCCCCAGGTTTATCACAGTACTATATCTAGTTTCCATAGCCACCTGCTGTCTTCTGTGTGTAGATTGCTTTCCTGGGATAAGATGTCATGGGCATAGAGACCTCCCTGACTTGCTCACCCACCCGCAGGACAGATTCTAGACCAGAACATCTGTCTTTTAGGTGGCTCAGTAAACATTTATATGAGAAGTAACTTTCAATCTTGATTATGGAGCCACTTTTATTTTTCAGAAATAAGTGAAGGAATATCATACCCGTGGTTTTTTAATTTACAAAGAATATACTTTAAAATTTTAATTTGCGTGTATGTGTGTGTATGTGAGGATGCATGTACATACCTACATACATACATGCATGTAGAGGCCAGAGGTAGATAATTAGGTGTCTTTTTACATTAGTTTTTGAGACAAAGTCCATCACTAAACCTGAAATTCATCAATTTGGCTAGGCTACCTGGTAAATGAACTTAAGGGATTCACCTGGTTTTGTTCCACTCTATCCCAGAGTTGGGGTTACAGATGAGCACCACTGTACCCCATCCTATCCCAGAGCCGGGGTTACAGATGAGCACCACTACACTTGACCTTTAAGTGGGTTCTGGGGATCTGAACTCAGGTCCTCATAATTGCACAACGGGCACTTTACAAACTGAGCTATTTCCCAGCCTGAAATATCATACTTTTAATCCTCATTAACCAGCCAATGGCATCAACTATTCCAACACAAAAAAGAGATAGTCCAAATTGATAGTTTATTTAAGAACACCTAAATGAACACATGACAAATGTATGTAGATTACTACTGCAGTCATTCTATTTAGTATTTCTCAACATCCCCTCTAGTTTGGTTCTAATGGGAGTATAATTAAGATCTTCATTTTTTTCTCTTTAGGTTTAAGTTACATATATTCTGTATCTCCTGGTTATTATCATTATATATTATTTTATTACTTTAGTTTTAAATAAGGTCCACAACTTTAACAACATTGAACTGTCAATGTATCCCTTTGAGCTTACCTATAAAATACCTTTAACATGGTACTCACTTAGCAAGTGAGGGTTCATTTTAGCCACATGGTTGTTCCTGAGAGTGCTGCATACCAAGATCTTCATAGTTAGGAGAAGTGGCATTTCTCCCATTTACCTTAAGAATCAAACCTAAAAAAAATTAATGTCATCCAAAGCATTAGTGGAGAACCCAGAACCTGGGTGTTTAGACTTAGGACTTTCCCAAACCAGGCTATTAAAAAAAAAAAGAAATAGAATCAAACAGGACACTGATTCTCAGAAGCACCCTTTCTCTCAATACAGTCAGAGTCCTGCCCCTTTCTCTTTTAATGCATTGAGGGAACGTACACATCTGAATGCATGCCAGATTGGCTCGAGAGTTCTCAATGCAGGATTCTTTTTAATAGTTCTTTTCTAAACAATAACCAATGTGGCCCTTTTCAGAATGGGCCACAGTTAAAGGAAATGAATAATTAAACCTCATCTGATTTGGTTAAAATTCAAAAGCTGTGCTTGAAGAATAATTAAAACAGTGGTACAATTCACATTATAATGGCATCTTGTGAAGGGGAAATGCAGACAGGACTCCCTTCGTGGCATCCTTTGTTCTTCCTAGCTGGAGCATCCTCACTTCATCATCACTGGTTATTCTTCTCAAGATCAGAAATGAGAATGTTATCTTCTAAATGTGCTGTACTGAAGCTGAGTGTAGGATAGTAAAGACTCCTAGGCCCCCTGAGTCTCTGGAAGAAGTCACCGTTCTGCTTGTAGAGCCAGAAGGAAAGTATGGAAATGACCAGGGCTATTATCAGTGTCAGTGAGATTGCAAGAGGAACGATGCTGTAGCTACGTCCTGGAGGAAGACAGAAAATAGAGAATGGATACTCTCACACGCCTGCTGTCTATCTTATTAATTCTAAGAAATAATCTAAATATTCTCTCCTCCTCCAAACCTACCTTTTACTGGATGCTCCATCACAACTGGAACATCTAAAATCAAAGAATAAATAAAAAATTCTTTAAATTCAGCAAAGTTATGGCATTACTCAAAGCAGGAATCAAACTATTGCTCATACGTCAAATCCAGTGGCATGTTTTTGTGAATGATGTTTTAATGGAATTCTGATATTCATTCATTTGTATGTCATCTATGACTCTCTCTCTCTCTCTCTCTTTGTGTGTGTGTGTGTGTGTGCGAGAGAGAGAGAGAGAGAGAGAGAGAGAGAGAGAGAGAGAGAGAGAGAGAGAGCTTGTATGTCCTGGTGCATGCACCACAGTGTGGGTGTGTGTAGGTCAGATGACAACTTGTGGGAGTCAGTTCTCTCTTTCTACCATGTGGGTTTCTGGGTTTGGACCCAGCTTAGGTCATTAGGCTTGGCAGCATGTACCTTTACCAGGTGAGCCATATTGCTAGCCCTTTGTAGTTATAAGGACTGGTGTTCATATCATAGGAGTACTTCTTCTTCTTCTTTTCTTTTTTCATTTAGTAAAGCCCAAAAGATTTCCATCTGGTCTCAGCACATTTACAACAGAAATATATGTAAGACATGGTCCTTGCTTACAGGAGGTCAGCATTTTCTTGGGGTTTGATGAAGAGTTAGCTCCCAAATCAAAGGCCTGCTTGTCTGTATGTCACAGTTATAGTCAGCACCTTTCACATCTGTGATTCCCAGGAGTCCGGGAAACAAGTAACATAGATTCTCCACTCTAGACTCACATGGTTCCTGTTTTAGTATGTTCTACTGTAAGAGAGTTTCTCACTTAAGATTGGTAACTCATGGGCTAAACTGCAATTTTTGGTCTTGGAAAGGATGCAGAGAAAGCATGCTGTAGAGGCACCTGGGAGGCTGGAGGGCTGCTGTGAGCCTGTGGTCGGTCTGGACTTCATAGTTCCAGACCAAGCCAAGCACCAGGGTGAGACTCTAACTCAGAAAGCTACATTGAAACAATAATGGTAACTACATTTTAAGAAGAGAAAGTCTGGCACTCAGTGCAGCCGAGGTTTGGACAGGCAAAAGGTTTGGACATCCTTGCCTATGGGATGGGTATGTTTGAACTGCTCCATGGCTTTGAAAAGTTTCAGAGCTTTAATTAAAATCGGACACTGATGTATGCTGTTTCTGATTTGCTCTTAATGCTTAAATGACAGCGAAAACTTGGGCATGCTGTTAGTCTGATGTCTCTTACAAGGCTGCTGCACTTTGGGGATTCAAACATCTAGTGCCCCCACACTCGGCTTTTTCTCCTTGCTTGCCAGCGTCTAGCCAGTGTCTACCCCTCCCTCTATTTTTAGTCATGCCATTCAAATTGCTAACGCTATTCTTTGCATCTCATGAGTTAATCTCACTGTGGGTGTCTACACAGCACCCAGTGCATCCCTTGCTTCACCAGGAATCTCAGCTCTTTAGCCCAGCTCTGGATCCTGCTTCACTGGTCAGTTTTACTCCCATCATGTGTCTACTACTCCAGTCGAAGCACATTCTCCATGGATGTTTTTAGTGATGCTGGGCCTTTGGTCTGAAATACCTTTCCTTTTCCAGCTCCTCAAATTTCCCCTGCCCCTTTAGAACCTCTGAAGCCTTCTTCAGCAACCCTGAGGCACACCAACCTTCCTTGTTTTGCTAAAATGAGCATCTAGGAACTGTCTGGATTATTACAAACACCAATGATTCTCATGGTATGTTAGTTCAGAAGCCTCGGCTGTTGTTTGCAAATGGCTAGGATTTTCCAGCTTAGTTCTTAAAAATTAATTTTCATGCCTATAACCTGTATTTCTTAGGATGGAGTCAAGTATGACCAAAGAGAATCACATTTATTTGTCCAGAACAAGTGCACCAAATGAACAGATGGTATTTCCTAAGACCAATGACCCTAAACGTTCTCATAGCACATTTCTTTTTGGTATAAACCCCATGTGTTGATTTCATTTATATGACTAATGATTTTTATCCCCTTCTTAATAGAGAAAAGGAGCTTAAGTGTTCTGACTTGAGTGATATAGGACAAGATGTAGAGCCAGAGTCTATCTGAATGCTACCATGGTGGGTCAGTATTAACCAGGAAGTCAGTATGAAGAATTTTCTCTCCCTTCACACACCTGCCTCCATTTTACATATGAATCCCCCTTTGTCTTCACATGGGGTAAACTGCCACACTCCTTCAGGGATCCTCAAGGCAACACAGGGATGGGGCTTGAGGTGGTCCACAGCTGGCTTCCAAATGCCCCAGTTCGATTGGTCTGTGGATGTTCCATCAAACCACCTTAAGGTTTCATCTGTGGAAAAATACTGACTTACTATGAATTATGTGCATGGATATTAGTCTAACACTGGGACAAACCACAAAAGCAGCCCCCAAATTTAAGGACCCACACTTATTCCATAAGTGTGGTCATGAACAAAACACAGAAAAGCTGTATCCATTGAAGCTATCTCCTGTGCAGCCCTCTTCTTTAGATATAAATATCTTGCCTCTTAATGTCCTGGTTTGAGTTTTGAAATAGTCCACACATTTCTAATCAATTTAAAGAAATCACATAGTAAGTGAAATTAAATTAATGTATTGAAGATGCCTTGAAACCCTAACATCAACACCATAACAAGAGGGTTCATTTCCTGCAGCCATTTTTATACTAGATGTGGTTGCGTGGGAAAGTTCAGCCCATGTATGGTCAATAAGGTGTGTGGGGGAGAGGGGGAAGGGCTGGGAGCACTGTCTGAAATGAATTTAAAACTAACGATAAAGTGAACTTTAAGTCAGCTTGCTTTTGATTATCACCATGAGCTAGAAATTCAAACAATGTCCAGGATCAAAATACCCCTTGCAAGGAAGGATGGGCTGTCCCCAGCCTTCCACACCACTGTAACACTCTCTCCATGCCAATTACTATGATATTCTTTACAAGTACTTTTTAATAACAACAGTTACATAAAGAAAAGTGTGCTTCCAATTACACACATTGGTGTTGATGAGTAGCATGTACAAATTCAAAAAGCACAGTGTATCCTTGAAATGGCTCTCTGACTGTTGGGCTTTGTAACACTTAAAGAGTGTGGGGTGTTTTCAACTCAATGTGGCTTTGCCATACTAAGCCTGGGGACAGAGTTGGAGTCAGTATGAAGGTTAACTTGTTATTTGTTTTGTTTGGGAGGGGTGGCTTTAGGATTCACATGGTGCTTTCACAGCAAATGTGCCCAAGGAGCATTTTGTGTCTCCCAGAGGCCTTAAGGAGTGAGTATTTATTTACGCCTCCTCCGCACCCACATCACTTACTGTTACTATCAAACTGAGCATTCAGCCAAACCATCTGGACAGAAGAACTAAAAGCAAGAATCTCTTCCAGGAGAAACAAATTTTCAGCCTCATCCTTGATTGCTAAAAGATTAGATCCTGTAAAAGACAAGCAGCCAATGAACAAGGTAAATGCAATTCAGAAATGTTTCTGTGCCATGTTGTGAAACTTGGGCTTTGAAACATAAAAACATTACACCACTCAGTATATTTTTATTTTTCTCTCTGGTGCTGGGGCTAGAAGCCCAGGGTCTCGCCATGTTAGGTAAGTGCTCTACCACTGAGCTACACAGCCAACTCCATGTTTCCATTGTTAAAGAGTGATTGAGCGGGTGGGGAGATAGCTCAGTTGGTAAAGTGCCTGCTGAACAAACATGAAGACCCACGTTTGAATCCTCAGGGCTCAGTTAAAGAGCAGGGCTGGGGAGGCAGAGACAGTAGGATCCCTGATTCTTGCTGCAGGTTCAAGGAGAGACAGTGTCTCAAACATATTGGGTGAAGAGTGATTGAGGAAGATACCTGGTAAAACTCATATAGACTCAAGCCCTACCCCCATACATATAAAAGTGATTAAAAACAAAACAAGGTCTCACTTTGTAGCCTGGCTGGCTTGGAACTCACTATGTAGACCAGCCTGTCCTCAAATTCATAAAGAATCTGTCTCTGCCTTCTGAGTATTAGGTGACCTGTGTCACCACACCCACCTAAAACGTGATCTTAAGACTTTTAAGGTAAAACTACATTTATAAAAATGTACAAGTTTTCACTTAGAAGCTAAAATACTGATGATCCAGTTTAGAGAATGTTAGAGATTCATAAACACATGGCTTTAAAGGAGGAATTTTGTGGAAAAGCTGTACACTGAGACACCATCTTGGGTTTTCAAAGTCTGCACTGGATCTTGAGTCACTTATAATAGCTGTCCCCCCTAATAAGTAAATTCAATAGTGCTTATTTTTTTCAGTAGTCTTCATGGTTCCTAAAGTTACTGGATAATCAGCATGTGAAAAAGCACACTGTTTACTGAGATGTCAAGGAGAACATGAAAGCGTTTTAGTGCCGCAGAAGAATTACCTTCTCTTTTGCAAAATTCATGAGCATCCTCAAAACTCCTGCTGTCCAGGACTGTAGAGAAACTGTAGCAATTACCTTTAAATTTTATCCAGGGAACTGATGTTTCTGGGCATAGCACTGGGTGCTCAGATGCCTTTGTTTCTGGGAAGACAAACCAGGCATGATTTAGGCGGGTGCCTGGGCTCCTATGCCGAGATAACCCTATTTTACATCCAGTGAAAGGCCAGAATCAATGCATGCATTAAGATCTTCATGATAATACCCCCAAAAGACTGGATTTTATGTCGATGATTACAAACTAGGGTTAGGTTCTTGTATTTCTGTTAGAAATACCCTTTAAACATGTAGAGTGTATTAATAGACTGCCTTGTCGGTTTACTTGGAGTCCTGCCTGGAGAAGGTGGCTGTCTAATGTTATCCTAAAGCTTGGGGGCATCAAGGAGATGCAATTCCTAGAGAAAGCAATAGCTGAGTGATTCTGAGAAAAGGATGTCTAAATGTATAAAACATATCCTGTGTTGGGCTAAATGTCACAGATTTCTAAAATCCTTGTCGGTAAGCCTATGAGAGAATAGCACATTCAGTAGGTATCACAATGAAACACAACATGGAATAAATAAGCAGAGTTTGAGGGGGCTTTCCTTCCAGCACCAAACAAGAGAGTCAGATACATCCCTGCTGAGATCCTGGTCCCATTGCTTCCTAGCTGTGTGGCCTTGGACATTTCACCCCCACTTAATTTCTTTGTAATAGGGAGCTAGCAGCAATATCATTCCACCCCAAACAGTTTGAACAGTTTAGACATGTTAGTGTCTGGCCTTTGTCATTTGAAGTATTTAATTTATTATTGTTCTATAGATAAGTGTGTGAGACAGCACATTTGCCATGGTGTGGGAGGTCAGAGGTCAACTTTTAGGAATCAGTTCTTTCCTTCCTTCTATGTATGTTCTGGGGATTGAACTCAGGATGGAGGCTTGCTCTGAAGCAGCCGATGAGCCCTCTTGCCATCCTGCCTGGCACTTCTTAAAAGTCTATAATAAATGCAAACATTTTTATCAAAAAAGGAGGCTTATGGTGTTTCAGGAGAACTAATTTTGCTGTCTACATTTCATACGTTTCCATATGTATATACATGCATGTAGACATCACTTGTGCTTAATCCTGAATTATTTTCATTTACAATTATGCAAAGTATGTGTGCTATTTGCAATAGTATCCAGAATATAAGTAAATAATGCAGTTTTATGAAATGAGAGATCTTAAAGGAGATTAGAGGGGGAACTTGAGCCGAATACGACAGCAACCAAGAAGAGACCCGGGAAAACGGGATAAAGCCCATCAGATGGTGGGGAGACTGAGCCTCTGTTCTTGGTACTGGTGATGGATGGAGCCTTGGGAATCTGTTTAATGCTCTCAACTAAGTTTCATCTCCAGTAAAAGATTGGGGCAGCCGAACTTCATGTAAATGTGATACTATGCCAAGTGTGGGGTAGGACATATAGTGAGTATCCAAGCAGTGTCAGCTACCACCCGCCATTACCATTAACCTACCACTGTTGTCTTAAGCACAAACCCTCGGTTCAGGTTCTCCACAGAAGCTGAAGCACACCTTTCTAGTGTGACTTCCCATCTTTCTCTTCCCCTAACCTGTGATGCTGGCAAACTCAACACCAGCATTGCCGTCTGTATCCCCATCCTCTACTCCTCCATCTTTATCTGTTTCTCGCCACAGAATGCTTCTCTATGTTCTGTTATCGCCCATCAATCCCACCCATTCTTGCAGTTCCATCTGCATATATTGCCATGCCCTTCGAAAAGCCCTTCTGCCTTTCCCCAAATAGATAGTATACTCTTAAAAAACAACAAAACATTACTTACTATGCTGCAGACAATGGTGAGGATGGCAGCATCAGAAGACAATGCATCCTTTCCTTGATAATCCCTCTTACCTCGACTTCTAGTCATACCTGGTATGACAGCTATTTGTCTTTGTATCATAGGCCAGACTGCAGGCTTCCCAAGAGCTGGGACTTTTTATTATTCATGCTCATATTCCCTGCTGAACACAGTCATGCACGCAACAGTAGCACAGGACACATCTGTTGAGTTGAACAGAATTGTACTTACCAGTGGCTACATGACAAATGGCTCCTTGCAGAAATGACTCACAGGCTGTGCTATGCCAGTGTCCATTAGTGTCAGCAAAAACACAGTCACCAAATAAGGCTGACTCCTCATCCTTCCAATAGGTGAAAGGGGATTTGGTGCCATCTGACCAGCCAAAATTAAGACCATTCTGCAGAGGGGATTGGAAGTATTACTTCATTGGCAAGACTTGCTGTGATGAGCCAATACTACCCAAGCATCCTACTCCTTCCAAATTCTACATTTTTTTCCAAAACAACCAGAGGTTCTGGATGAATAGAGTTTACTTTTCAGCAATTCAGGAGTAATTCAACACTCTTGTTTTAAAAAGCAAAAATGAACAGAAAACAAAACAAAACATCACAATCACACAAGCAGAACCCTTGCATGTTATATTTCAAGGGTAGTGAGTTAATTAATAATTAAGTTTCTGAGCAGGAAGCAGCAGTCATTTTTCATGGAGATTCTGGAAATCTAACAAATTACCCAAACAAACATGGTACTTGAATTGGAGGTGTGTTTCATTGCATAAATGAGTTAGTACTCAGGGATGCTTGAGAATTTTCAAAGGACCCATGGGGGCATTATATTTAGAAATCAGGCAAGTGCATGTTCAACCTAACAGGATGTATACTCTTGCTTTGTAGCCTCAGGCTTCTCAAAAGCAAGTAAACAAAACTCTGGAAACAACAACAACAAAACCCCTAGCAGTTTCTGAATAAACCAATTATTGAAATGTTACATTTTCCATTGTGCCTGGGAATTATTTTTGCATGCTGATTCCAGTGGTTGTCCCCCTAAGGAAGCAGACAGAAGCTTTTCGAAGATCATTGGAGGGACTTTGAACACCTACGTCTGTGGTGGAAAGTCCAATCCAGTGGGCATGTCCCAGCCTGTTGAGGATAACGGTGAGGAAGGCCTGGTGAAAACTGTCTGTAATGCTGGCTAGTTCTGCTCCATGCATCAGGCAGGCTCTTCCTGCTGTGTACCAAGTCATATTAGCACGAATTATTTTATACGTTCTGTTTCCAAATTCTAATGTGTTGGGGACTGAATACATATCAGACGTATTTACATGGTGTTCAGGAGTATCTAGAATGAAAACAACAACAAAATCATTCATAGCATCTGGACAATAAAAGAGGAGGTCAGGCTTAATATGCATCTTTGTCACCAACATCCACATTGACCAGAGATTTTCTCCCATAAGTGATGAATTCAAAATAATGCCACTACACTTAGAAGTGTCTGTGATGCTAGGGAATTGGAACACTGTGGTAGTTTTAATGATGATGGCTTCCCTAGGCTCATACATTTGACTGCTTGAGTCCTAGTTGGTGGAACTGTTTGAGAAGGGTTAGGAGGTTTGCCATTGTTGGAAAAAGTATGTTATTGGGGGTGGGCTTTGAGGTTTAAAAAGCTATGCTGTTTCCAGTTTGAGCTCTCTCTCTGCATATGTGTGCTTTCTCTGTAATATATGTGCATTTCTCTTTTTGTCTTGTATTATGCTTTATCCATAGAACAGCCTAAATTTAGGAAAACAAAGTAAAAAATTCTGCATTATCTGATCTAGAGTGAATTGAGTCCCTCTTGCATACTAGGCTGAAAACCAAAATCAGTAAGTAGTTTGGGTTTATTAAAGGGCATGCTGAGATGTGAATGGCTGAAGGCCTGGACTTTATCCCCCTGCTGACCCTGCCTGTTAAGAGACCTAGAGAAAATTAGTCCTTCTGAAGCTGAAATGTCAGGTCTATAAGAACTGACAAGGTCTTCCTTAGGAAGGTGTGTGTAGAATTCATTGTGATATCCACACAGACACACTCTATTGCATCTCAGACACATCAAACAATAGGTGTTGTTCCTCACTCCCCTCTCCTATTTTGGTCATGTTCTCCACAATTAAAATGGCCAAGTAGAAAGCTACCTCTTGCCTTTGTTATTGTTACTTGATTTAGGAAGCACACATTGTAAAACATAATCGAAAATGAGCCAATTTGTTAATTAACTTGTGATGGACTGTGCTTTGTCACCAGTGTGCTCTTTGCTGGGAGCCTGCCTGCCAGCCTCTGCTCCCAGTTTATGGTTAGTTATACAGAATCTATACGATACCAAAGTACTATTTTAAAATTAGTACCATAATGTAACTGAAGATTTTTCGTTTCCTTCACTGGGTTATACCATTGCTTTTATACGTAGGAATTTCTCCCAGTGCAATTAATCCTTTTAAGTTTCAAATCAAAATACACATGATTTTGAGCAATGTGGTTTTGCATTTCATTGTCCTGGAGAAGAAATAGCTATGGAAACTGAGCTGTTTCCAAGTGTTCAGTTCTCCCTTTGTCTTGGTCTGTCTCTCCCTTTCTCTCTCTCTCTCTCTCTCTCTCTCTCTCTCTCTCTCTCTCTCTCTGTGTGTGTGTGTGTGTGTGTGTATATACATGTGTATCCGTGTGTGAATGCATGCCTGTGTGTGCCATGGCACACATGTGGAGGTCAGAGGATAACCATGTATGTTGGTTCTTTTCTTCTCTTTATTTGAGTCAAGGCCCTGTTCTGCTGTTTTTCTGCTATGTTAGGTTAGCTGTCCTATGAGCTTCAGGGATCCTCCTGGCTGCCCTCTGTCTCCCCAAAAGGAGTTCTGGGATCAGAGATCTATACCATGCACCTGGCTTTTATATGGGTCCTGGAGATTCAAACTCAGGTTCCCCAAGCCTGTATGGCCAGTTCTTTCACCCACTGAACAACCTCCTCTGGCCTCTGACTCTTTTTTTATTCATATTTCTTTCTTTCTTTTTGACTTTTGTTTGTTGGGTTGGGGTTTCTCTGTGTAACAGCTCTGACTGTCCTGGATCCTAGACCAGGCTGGCCTCAAACTCAAAGAGATCTGACTGCCTCTGCCTCCCAAATTCTAGGATTAAAGGCATGTGCCACCACCACCCATCTTATTCTTACTTCTTTATTCTTTCAGGAACATAGCAAATTTTGTCTCAAGCCCAACATAAGCTTATATTTATGTGGAAAATGTTCATTGTAACAAGAACTAAAGTTTAATAATATTTTTCAGAAGTAATGATTTTAAAAACTATCTTTTGGTAAACATGCTGAGAACTATGCTGCTTTACATGTACAGATGCAATAGTTCTTACCTCATTTTACAGAAATTGAAATCAAAGCTCATAGAAGATGAAGTCATTTGACTGGCACTTATGTAAAGAGGGGTCAAGTGGGAGTTTGTATAGTCAGACATCAGGCCTGTGCTCTCCCACTCTGCCCTGCAATGTCACCAAAGGAATGGCTGTGTTGCTTGTCCCCAAATGCCATAGAAGGCAATCAGTGGGTAAATTTGAGAAGAGGTCAACATTGTAGAAATAGAATCACTATATTAACTGAAATACTATTTTGTTTTGTTCCTTTTTGTTTTTAAGAATAAAGTTCCTTGTCCATAGAATGGGGAGACTTTGACCTAGTTCCTGAAATGGTCTTGAAGGTTTTATGGCATAATGTTCATAAACCCAAGGCCTGGTGCCAGGCACAGGGACACACCACAGGTAGTGAAAGCAAGAGCTGTCTCTGTTTTTTTTTTTTTTTTAATTCAAGGACATAGGACAGTCACACTACTCATTCATCCCACTAGATATGTGTGATACTGTGACACTTTAATTAGGATCTTAAACATCCTCCAAAGGCCCAGGGATCCCAGTTGTGATCCCCAGTGTGGTGCCACTGGAGCTGATAGAACATTGAACAGGTGAGGCCCAGTAGAAGGTCTTAGGTCACTGTGCATGCCACTGAAGGGGATTATGGGAGTTTAGACTCTGCCTCCAGTCATGAGTTGAGTGGCTTTGTTCGGCTCCCTGATCCCTCCATAGCATTCTGCTTTTGGCACAGCTCCAAAGCAATGTGTCTAACCTTCAAAATTATTATGCCAATACAAATCTCTCCCTTTATAAGTTGATCATTACAGGGAGGGGAAGTTATCACATATGGCTTTGATATTACACTCCAGAAATCATTGGGGAGTTTTATCCCAGATCTAGAAATATACCACATGCCATATTTAGCCACAAACACTATTTTTGGAGCTTAAAAAAAAAGGGAGTGAGTGTGTGAATTTATGATTTTGCTGTGCTTCTTTAGAGTCAGGGTCTCCCTCGATAGCCCAGGACTTCCTGGAACTTGCTTTAGAGTGCAGTGCAGGCTAGTCTTAAACTTGGTAAGCTATTTTTTGTTTTATCTCAGTCTCCCAAGTACAGGAGTTACAGGCATAAGCTAAGACAGTTCCTTTTTTTGTTGTTTTTTTTTTGTTTTGTTTTGTTTTGTTTTTCAAGACAAGGTCTCTCTGCAGCCCTGGCTGTCCTGGAACTTGCTGGGAGTGAGTTCTCTGTCTGCCTGCCTCTGTTTCCCAAGTGCTGGGATTAAAGGCATGCACCACGCCTACTTGGTCTCAGTTCCTCATTCTTTTTCAACATCGTAGGTGACTTTTAAAGTTGCTACAATAGACTATTTGTCAATCTAGTGTCAGTGTTCTTTGCAAAGTAGTAAATGCTGGAATTTAATCCTCAGTCTGGAGGACTAAGTAGGTAAAAACTTATCTGACCGGGAAGTTCAGAAGTAGCATCTCTGGAGGGTGGCTGAGCTGAACCAAGGCCACAGGGTTCCCTGACTGAATTTTGGTGGCTTTAACTGGAGGGAGGGACCAGAATACACTCACCCCAGTCTCTTGCTATATATGTGACACCTTGGAAGTCTGGCAGGGAGATGGCCATCAACAGATGTCATCACTTTGACTTTGGAGCAGAGCCATGAGGCAAGAGAAAGTATTTTTCTTTGTGCTGATCCTAACATCATAAAATGGGAAAATGGACGGATGAAGACAGAATCCCAGAACGTAGGAAGAAAGCCATTTAATGGTTCTAGGGTTGTGGTGTATAAACTTGATTATCCGTCAGATGGTTTTGGTTGTCTTTAGAACACAATGGAAGGGAAGTCTAAGAAGTGGGGGATATATGGCTAAATACCTAAGTACAGAGGACAGGAAACTCATTCTGTTAGCTCAAAGCTGATAGACAACAGCTGTGGAAGGAAAGTTGGAAATAAAAGGAATAAAACCCAAATTGTTTCTTACCTTGCATTTTTTCACAAACAAATCCATAGCCTTTTTTTCCACAGTCGTCAAAATACCACTTTCCAGTGAAATGAAAATTAGGATTACTTGACACCAGGGCACAGAGCGGAACATGCTTTTGAACTTTAGAGGTATTGTAACTTGGCATCTTTAAAGGAATACATATGTTATAGAAATATGGTAGCAACATTATTGTCACATTAAAAATTATTTTGGGCATAATTTTAAAAAGTAAAACACCATTATTATCTTATTTACATCTAATTAGAACCAATTCAGAAATCTCTTCATTGCCTCTGAGATAAACAATCATTGTGATTCATAGTGTAATTGTGTTTATGGTACCCACAAAACTGTTACAATGTTATATTATTAAAAATTAACATATGTCTAGTAAACTAATATAAATTTATAGCTTCAAAATACAGAAAGAAAAATTATAGTCAGTAAGTCTTAGTTATGATCTCTTGTTAAAATCATGTAAAAATAAATAAATCTTGAGGGTCTTACAAATACAGCACAATGGTTAAAGTGTACAAGACCCTGAGTCAGATCCCCAGTAAACTTTGCCCCAAATAATTCTTAAAACTTACATTTATTATGTCAGATGGAGACCAGTTAGAATATACCACAGGCTTTCTATTTACCCACTTTTCATGATCATCACTTTGTAACCCTATCCACACATTTGTAGTCTGGCCGAAAAGATTCATAGTAATGAAAGCTGAAAAACAGAAATACATTATCTGATAATATCACACAAATTACTGGGTCTGCATCAAATGCTATTCATAGAAATGATTCTATTTAAATGACAGGGAGACTTCATTATGACTCAATTGCTTTGTTCTCATTAAGGTAATACGTCATCTTTCACATTGGTTTCAGTTTAAATTGACTGAAATTAGCTGGGTAACCTGAGATTTTATCTGATCATTAGCAAAACAATTTCCAGTATTCACTTCTTACTGTTTTAAACAAAAGAGGATTAATGTATTGTATTTAAAGAGAAGTATATAATTGCCTAAGTTTCAAGTTAAAATGTATAGGTGAACTCAAAATAATCTTTAAAAAGCTTACCATGCAATTATAGTAGATATTCCCGAGAAATTACTTTAGATATTCTAGAACACATGTATGTCCTTATTCTCTCCAGTGTAGCTGTCCAGTGAAAGCCTCTAAAGTCCTCAGTTTCTAGGCAGCCTACTGACTCTCACAGATGTCTGGGCAGAAACCCTGATGCTCATACTGAAATTTCCTGTGTCTTAGCAATACAGTTTTAAATGTTGATTTGTAAATGAAAGTTTGGGGGTGATGTAAGTTTGGGGGTGATGTTTTGATTAATTAATGATGGTGGCCATTTTTGCTTGGTTGAATCCTTAGACTCTACCTTGTTCCAGTTCACTTTCAATGGAGACCAGTGTCCCGCCCTTGTTAATGCAGAAGTCCTGAGCACCTGTCCAGGTCTTTAGCTCTTGAGTGTCTTTGGGAATCGACACCAGGAAGCACTACGAACAACAAGAACACAATGCATTCATTCCTGGACTGTTCTATGTGAAATAAGACAATTTTCCAAAGGCACTGAAGGTCAGCCTTGGAAAAGATAATTTTCTTAGGCAGAGATCTATCTCATCTGTCTTCTGCCTGCTCTGCAGGAGTTAATGCATGAAGAGAGATTTGTCTCATTCACATGAGGCAGAGCAGAAGCAGGGATGTGTTTGTCACCAGGAATGGCACAGCAGAGTGGTCTACTTGGTGGAGAAGGGTGATCTTCCTAAGAAGGACCCAGTCTGTTTGCAAGGCTTACAGTAGGGTATTTAGTCTAAGAAGGTAGGAGTGGTGTAGCTGGAGTTACTTGTCCTGCCAGGTCCCGTGTCTTTAGCCCCAAATGAACACACAGAGATGCTATATTAATTATTAAAGTGTTAGCCGATGTCTTGAGCTTCTTATTGGCTAGCTCTGTCTTAATTATTAACCCATTTTTATTAATCTATGTATTTCTATGTGGCCTTGGCTTACTGGAGAATGCCCGAACCTGTTACTCCTTGTGTTCTACATGGCGTCTCTTTGCAGCATCTCTCTGCCTACTTTTCCTCATTAGTCCCACCTATCTTCCTGCTTCTATTGGCCAAACTGTTTTATTCATGAACCAATAAGATAAACATATATACAGAAGGACTTCTCCATCAGATGGCTTAGCTAGTGCCATCCATGAGCAAACTTTCTTACTTTAGTGAGAGATGAAAGGACATGGAAGCTTGAAGTTCACTAGACACCCAGAGTCAGCTACGTAACAGCAAGCACACAGGAAGTTACAGAAAGACAACAGGGAAGGTAAGAGGAAGACAGAAAAACAAAGGACACAACTGAGGAGCAAAGATTACCACAGATGCTAAATGGAACACAAAAATACAGGCTGGATTTTCACCATGAGATGGGTGACTTTAACAAAAAAAATCTTTATTATGTCACATACTTGAAGGTCAGAGGACAACTCTAAGGAGTCAGTTCTCTCCTTCCATTGTGGGGTCCAGAGACCAAACTCGCACAGTCAGTCAGGCTGCCGAGGTAAGTGCTATAACCTACTGAGCTACGTTGCAGGCCCGTGACTGTCACGGTTTCCTTTTTATGAGATGGTATGAGAATCAGAATGATACAATTGGCCTAGTGTGCCCATTTTGCTCAAGAAAATGTAAACACAGTAGGGACAGCTAAAGTAAAGTCAAGATAGAGGAAGAAGATTGAGACACTAACACTTTAGGACGGGTTCTACAGAAGTTAGGAGAGACTTCATGCAGGGACATTGCATCCAGAAAGTGCTGGCACTGTCTCTTTACACTCAGTTGCCTCCTCAATGAACATCACCAGCACTAGTCATTGGCAGGTCTGATCCCAGGGTTGAGCTACAGAGAAAATTTCAAACTAACCCCAGCTTACCTACAAACTCAAATATGAGAGCACCACCTTTCCTGTCTTACTTTGGGATGATGCTCTTCTCCCTTATTCTCTAATTTCTAATCTATCAGTTATCACCTCCTCCCGACCACTGTTACTCCAGAAAAGCAGAGGCAATCTTCTTGGCACCACATCAAAGATAATCCCTAAATACCATCTAGGAGATAAAAAAAGCCAAGTGACACTGGGGCTTTCCAATAGCAATCCCAACAGGTGGGAGGTAGAGATGAGGATCGCTCGAGCAAGCTGCCTCCAGGAGAGCTAGTCAGTATTGAGAGCCTGTGTAGGGCCCAGCCATGACAAACTCAATAGAGGCCTGAGTTTTAGATTACCCTAAGGCAATACCTGGCTCTAGGAAAGACCACCCAGACACCACCCAAGAACAGACCCAAGGGAAAGTACCTAATGGTCCAACCATTATAGATAAGATCACCTAATATCCTTTAGTCCAGCACAAATGTCAGCCAATCAGGGGTCTTGAACCTTAGAAATCCCTCACCCCAACCTCTACTATGATAAAACCCACCCCAACTGAGCTTGAGACTGATCTTGCCAATGCTTTGGACACATGGAGAGTCTGAGTTCATACTTGAATAAAGGCTCTTTGCTTTTACATACGAGATTTGGTTTCCTTGTTGATTTTGGGGGGACTCCTCAAAATAAAAGGTAAAGAGCATTTGATGGAGAAAACCAATGTCAACCTTGGGCCTCCACATGAATGTGGACACACATACATGCAACTATATAACCATGTGTACTTACACACATGCAAACACTTGTACATGCATTTGAAGACAAAAAAATCAGTCCAAATTACTACTCTCATAGAGGCACTCTACCCCAGTCTTTTGGGCACATAAACTTGTCTCACTCACCACAACATTGACACTGAGTGTTTGTCCTTCATCTGTGTGACACTGAACTGAACATGCCCAGACATGTCCATATCCTCTACCCTAACCTTGTAGGCTTTGTGCTTTATGACCTTGAACTGAGCATGCCCAGAAGTGGGTCCACCATCTTTTCTTCTTAAACTTTAACCATACACTGAGCATGCTTGTGTATGTGCCCAACTCATATGCTTCTCCAGAGGAGTAGGTAAAGACTCTACAAGATCACCACACTTCTGTTCCTGGAGGAGAGCAGCATTCTGGGGACAACCCCGGTGCTCTCCTTAACTAATGCAGGCAACAGGTGTGTCCCACTCTGATGTCCTGCTTGTGTTTCTGGTTCTCCAAGACACCAACTCCCTGAAGTCAATTGCACAATGACACTCTCAGGCATTCTAAACTTAACACAGCAGTTCTCATATAGCACGACTTTTACTTTTGTGGCTATTTTGACAAAATCTGGGGACATTCTTAGTTATTTTTAGTTTGGGAAGAGTTGCCACTGGCAAGGCGGATGGAGACTAGGACATTGCCAGATACTGCCATGAGTGACTTTATAAATTTTCCCACAATAAAGAACTATCCAGCCCAAAATATCAGTAGTGCCAGGGCCAGTTTCCCCAAAACTTAGTTCTGATGGCATCGTCCTTTAGGACTCCAGGGCTTTTTTACAGCTTTTAGAATTAAAAGCTAGAAACTGTGATGTAGCCCGAGTTACTGATCAAGACAGGAGTGGGTTTCCAAGTCTCCTGCATACCTCTTTCTTGTTTGCTTCACAAAGAAACAGAATTGTCTTTAAAGGAGTTTCATTTTATAACAACCACCCTTTTATCTGTTCCTTTTTTTTCTGCTTCTTTCTTCTAATTACAAATCCCAACGAGTGGCACACACTAATTATTGGGAAGTCTTATCATTTAATTCGAGTTCACCTTGTGTTCAGATAGTCACTAATGAACTATTCATAAATACCAGTGACTCTTGCTGGCTCAGTTTGCTCCACCCTTCTTTGCAGTAAAACTCTCTCTTCACAGCCTTACATGTTTCCTGCATCCAGGATCTATTAATTTGACAGTGGAAGTATGGCGTCCTATTACCACAGGCTTCTTTTTCTAAAATACACCATATTTACTAACACACTCTGAAACAGTGCCATTAATAATTAAGGCAGAACATTTGGAGGAAGGATGGCATCCCGATTTTAACTTGTTTACTTGCTGACAAATTTGCAAAATGTGATCAAGTTTTATTCATCTCTGCTCATAATTGTGAATTAAGGAGGCCCTATAATATTCCAAATGAGCTTGGAATAATAAAAATCCTTTGTTCCAAGGTAATTTCTAGTCAACATTTGTCAATAGTATCTATAATATTTCCTTCAAATTTGGTCTTTTCTCAGTTTTTCTTCTATCATTGCCATTGAATGTCCGATGTCTGAAACTTGAAACTCCGATCTCTCATCCTTCTCTGCCTTAGATGCTACTGAAGGAGCCATTGGCACTGAACCAAGGTCTGGAATAAAGATGTGCCACACACACACACACACACACACACACACACACACACACTCACACAGGGGGAGGTAGAAGGGGAGAAGAGAAAGAAAAAGATAGGGAAGACTTCTCTCTTGGCCCTGCTGACTTACCCTTCCTAGGGTAACATCTTGTCAACCTTCCCATATGTCATTAAGCTACATTATCCCACACGGAGAAGATGATTTATGAGTCATTGGGAAGAATGCTTAGCTTCCAGATATCTCGCTTCTTAAAACTCTAAAACAGCGATTAACTTGTCAGCTGAGTTTTTTAAAGTAATAAAAATTAGTCCTTGGAAGAATTGACGAAGAAGGGGAGAAGTTTAATGGCTCATAATGTATTGACATTTGTTCAGGATTTATCCCCCACTTTTCTTTTTGTAACTTTAAGAATTAATGGGGGGAATGGTCCAACAGCACTTGCTACTTCTCTCAGCAACGATCCTTCACTGGCTTCCAGACTGTCTGAGTAACCCGTCAACACCAGACCCTTCTTATCCGTGGTTTTCACTTTATCAGTTTCAATTACCCACAGTCAAAAAAGTGAAGGGCAATGACAATAAAGAGAGGATATGTGTGTGGGAAACATAAAAATAGAGAGGGGAGGTAGTCCCTTAATTTTGTTGTAAGACATTTTATTTTATTATTGGTTATGGTGACTCTTTCTCTCTTTTTAAAGATTGTTTTTATATGTGTAAGTTAGTGCAGGTGCCTGAGGAGTCTAAAAGAGGGTGTCAGATCCCCTGGAGCTAGAGTTAAATGTAGCTGTGAATTGCCCCATATGGGTGCTGGGAGCTGAACTTGGGTCCTCTGAAGGAGCAGAACAGGCTCTTAACTGCTGAGGAAGCTCTACAGCCCCTATGGTTTCTTCACCCACCTCATTTAGAAATGGAACTTTATCAAAGTCACACAGTCCTCAGAAGGACCCTCACATAAAGGCTTTCTCTACAGGTGGCTACATTGGGAGGTGCTGTGGATATTGAAGCCTTAAGAAATCAAGGTGTGCCCTCACAAAGGACCAAGGGACCCCAGTCTCCATTTCTCTGTCTAGTCCCCATCCCCATGGATGTTCAAGGTACAAACACTTGCTTTTTGATTCTCGTTTAAAATGAAATTTTGAGACAAGGTAGGC